CAGTAGCGGGCCTGAATGCGAGGTATGCTTCTTGTCGTCCTTCTTCGCCGGCTTCTTGAAGGCCGGCTTCTTGAAGGCTGGCTTCTTCATCGCAGGGGCAGCACCGACCGAAGCACAGTCCGAAGCACCCACACTGGTTGACTTGCCCTTCAGGACACGCTCAAGCCCCAGCCAGCAGACCGAAATCCAGGAGAGCTGCCACCAGAATCTCAGAAAAGGCCCCCAAAAGAAAAACTTCGCAGCGAGGCTATGGCGAGGAGGCAAAGTAAGGCCGTTCGCAGCGAGGCTATGGCGAGGAGGCAAAGTAAGGCCGTGATTAAAGTGATTTCGCAACTCTGGTTTGTGCTTCTCCGACCTAGAGGATCCATAGGCCATGCTCTCAGAGTCTGCATTGCAACTTAGCACACAGCTTGGATTCGTACTGGTAATCAAGTCAAGCACATGGCTGAAGGATCCATAGGGGGGCGGGGGGGGAGGGGTTCACGCTGAAAATCATAATCAAGCAAGCTTTCTACTCTTTGGTCCACAATGCCAGCCCGAATGACTACAGTGGCCACGGCAACACCCAGGAAAACCTAACCCTAACCCAAAACCCCGCAACTCGACCATCCTAAAGCCCATCTCCGGAATCCCTGTTGCCTCGCTCTGCTTCTCCTGCGAGTCTGCAGCCGTGGCCTCAGAGGATGGGCCGGGACTCGCAGCAAGGAAGCCACTGCAAAAGGAAGGCACCCCAAACCCAAAACCACACCCGCCCCAACAACAAAGGTCGCGAACCCCAGCCCATGCATTCCAGATCTGAGCAGCCAGCAGGAACCGCTTCAGTCATCTGGTCCTAGCAGCAGCTGGCGCAGATAAGCAAAGCTACAGCCAACCCCAGCACTAACAACGAATCCCAGAACCAGGCCTGCAAGGGAACCGCAGAAGGCGAAGCAACAGCCTGCACCAGGGAGGGCCAATGGCACAACAGGCAAACAATAAACAAGGATGATAAGCTTCTGGCAGTCGCCTGATCTGCGGCAAGCTCCTGCCGGATTAAAGTCTGGGCTTCTTGTTGCAGACCATGTATGCTTCGGGTCCTGGTGTGCAGACGCCACGGCCTGCTTCGTTGGTGGCCTTGTCGTTTTCAACCAGGGCACACGTCCGCCTGGCCTCGAAGTCGCAACTAATCTGGGAAGACATGGGAGAATGCACTAGCCGATGCTTGCCCAAGGCGTACTCATGATGCGAAAGTCGGGAAAGCACGCCGGACTCGTTCGCAAAGAGCTGATCGCACCTGCACAAACCAACCCACTCTCTTCTTCCCCGAGAATGCATGAAAAAAAACAATCTTACCTGGATCTCCAAATCCGCGAGGTGGAATCCCATTGAGCTGCCAGCATCTTGCCGCAGCAGATGGACACCCCCTCGGACCACAGAGACAGGCCAGCACGGAACATCCCATAAATTCTCAAAGTCAATGAGGGCCGCACACAAGCCACTGGCACGGGCACCAGCGGACGAGGCACGTCTGCTGGAACATCTTCTGCCGCCACGAGACGAACCCGTGGGGGCCTCGTGGTCGACACATTGTTTGAGCGACCTCCTGAATAAAAGTTGCCGAGACCCCGGCATGTCGGCTCCTTCTCCAGGAAATGCAAGGCCCCGCGCCGCAATGGGATGTTGTCTTGTGCTACACTAATCTACTAAACTTTACTAAACCCAATGCCGTCATAATGGCTTACTAATCCCGCCCCCCAGTGCCGTCATAATGGCTTACGATCTTAAGTAATCGTAAAGTAGTAAAGCCCAGTGCCGTCATAATGGCTTATCAACCCTGCCCCCCGTGCCGTCATAATGGCTTACGATGTTAACTAACCCTAAACTAGTAAAGCCCAGTGCCGTCATAATGGCTTATCAACCCCGTCCCCCAGTGCCGTTCTAGTGGCTTAAAGGAATGGTACGGAATGGTTCTAGGATGCTAAGCTGCCTGTTTGCTCATGAGATGTCTAGGGCATGCCTGCACATGATCACCAATGCCCCGTTAAAAAGGCAAAATGCCTGCGGTGCCGGGCAGACACTTTCGCACACAATGAAACCCGGAAATCCACACCCCCTCTGGTATGCATTTCTACCCCCGGCAATCACCGATACGTAGGAAACAGTACCCCCCCCCAGTATGCATTAGATGGGGGTGGGGATGGCCCTGAAAACGCCCTAAACCCTATAAGCCCTAAACCCTAAACCCTAAGACCTGTACACTCAAAAAACGCTAAAAACCCCACAAGCCTGACAAACCTTCGCAACCCTAAACCCTGAAGCTATACTCAGCACCGGGCCGGTATCGGGGACTTTGCATCGAGGTCCAACCAGGCGGCAGCTCCCACCTTCGTTTCTATTCCTCTAATGGGTTTAGGGTTTAGGGTTTAGTCTTCTAATGAAACTAATGACTTTCAGTTCAGAGCTTGAAATTTTAGGGCTTTTGGGGTGTCAATGGCTTGCTTGTTTTGGTGGCTGTCATTTGGGGCTTCGGGGAGGATCTGGGAAATTAGAATAAGTTGACGCTCCTTCCTGTGCGGTGGGGAGGTGACTGATACGTTGTCTTTGGTAGCAGGTTGCGAGGCTGTTACACTTGCCCTGGCCTTCCGACTTCCGACAGAGCCTACACCCAGATTAGACGATTCAGGGATGTCGGAGATGAAGACTGACTAAAAGATGTGGGACTGGAGTCCACACTCACTCGCCTCCCAGCTGGAGCGGAAGGAGCACGCCTCAGCAAGCAAAGGACACCTTCAACAGTTTGGCAATGGCCTTGTGCAAATGCCACAACCTTCGTTGGGGTGCTGCCGGGGAGCATGGCCGGGAAGGCGGACCAAGCCATCTATGAGCACCGCCACCAAAGCAATGAAAACTGGAAGTCCCACAGCGAGTGCGATGATGCCATTGCTGAGGCCGACGGAGTAAAGCAAGGAAATGAGCACCTAAACCAACAGTGCCCAAAGACTCTGCAATCCCCTGATAGAGGAACCATAGAAAGAAACCCCCCTTGTCACTTCAGGCATGCACCTGAAATAGGCCTTCTGCGTCCTGCTTGCCACAACTTTGGAGTTGTTGCTCCTATTGGCACGCTCGCTCTAACTTCCACGCCTTGAAGTTATTCTAGCTTGTCCATGCTTATCGTCGGGTCAGTTTCTCCCCGTGCTTTCTGGAGTTCAGGCAATGCCTGTTGTCACCACTGCGCCTTGCGCAGATAACCACACCCTCCAGCGCAATGTCTGCTTCTAAATAGTAACCGTACTTGATGTTGCGTCCCAGGTACATGCCCATCGAGAAGAGACAAGATAGCCCCAGCATTGGCCAAGATTCCAGAGCTCATGCAGCAGCATTTGAACTCTCCTCATCTGCTTACAGCACCCCAGCAATGGGAAGTTACAGGACCGCGCATGGACAGGAACTGCACAAACACACACTGGCCCTTTTTTACTCAAGACAGGCTGCGTCTAAACCATGGGAAAGTCGCCAGCAGCGCCAGAACTGCCAAGAAAGATCCCAGAGTCTGCAGCAGAGCAATGTTGGGAGCGGCATCTTGTAGATTGAGCACCGCCGCAACTCCCAGGACGATTGCGGCGGCCGAAAGTGAGATCCGTATCCGCAGGAGCACTCTTGTGCGCGAGACTCGCTGGTGGCTCGGTGAGTGCATCTGCTGCAGCTGCACAGTCCATTCTCACACACAGCGCTGGGGTGCGACGGTCGATTAACTTTTGAGCTGAGCTGTCTTAACTTCCGGATGTTAAGATGTGTCCGGATGTTCTGCCATATCGCACAACAACACCTTGAAATGCAAAGACTCGTTTATTCGCATGGCCAGCAAACCATCTGCAACATTTACAACATGTTAACACCAGCGGTTCTTTCGTGACTGCATAGGCGAGACGTGGCTCTGCACAGCCAGCCTCTAGCTCGTAGCATCGGCGGGACACCTCTCGGGAAACTGGCACCACTACGTTGTGTCCGTGGTCTTCGCATCACGTTTTCATGCTCTGCTCCCGTCCTACAGCTTGACGAAAGCTCGGTAAGCATCCGAAGCTTCCCCGCTGGCCTGATCAAGGAACGTCTGCAGCATCGCCTCTCGTGCGTGGCCCAGTTTAGCCGTTCTGCTCTGGCGCGTCTTTCTAGGTCTTTGGAAGGGAAAGAAGCACTGGAGATGCGGTCACATCAGGGTCTTGATCTACCTTCAGAGAGACCCGAAGAAGCGAAGCTCGAGCTGTGCTTTTCCGAAGCTCAGAACACCCCTAAACCCTAAACCCTAAATCCTAAACCCTAAACCCTAAACCCTGAACCTTCAACCGAGTCTTTCCTTGGCCGTCCGCAGCTCCCAGGCCATGGCAGCCTCCGTCGAGCACTCTCCCTTCACTCCTGTAACCTCCAGACAGCACCATAAGAACTACACTTCCCTAGGTAGTATAGCATAGCATGGTGTGGTATAGTATAGTATGGTGTAATATAGTACAGTATGGCATAGCATATTATCGTATAGTATTAGCATAGTACAATCTTAAAGAGTCTTTTCATCACCAGAAGCCTTGGAAGCCTCTTCCTCCCCTCTTCTCTATAGTATAGTAGAGTTTAATTTAGTATACCATAGTATACTATACTATAGATTAGTTTAGTATAATTTAGTTTAGCTTAGTTCATTATAGTTTAGCTTAGTATCAGTATTAGTTTTTCTTACCTTAATACTTTAGTTTATGACAGCATACGGTTGATGATATAAATCCTGCATTACCTTGAGGACCCTAAACTATGGGAATTATGGTATATTCCTTATTATGGGTAATGCCGGATTTATATCATCAGCCGTATGTTCTATGAGGCCTCCAGGGCGCGATCCGCTTGGCCCAGCGCTTCCTTGGCGGCCCAGAGCTTCCCGGTTCCCAAAGCGGATCTCAAAAGAGGCTTAGGTTTTTCTTTGTTGAGGGCCTTTGTCTGGGTTTAGGGTTTAGGATTTAGGGTTTAGGGTCATTAGGGTCATTAGGGTCATTAGGTTTTGGGTTTAGGGTTTATAGAATCTGCACAAGGTTTGGGTCCCGAGTGTTGTCGCCCACCCGCCGCCCCTGCCCTGCCTGCGCTGCCCCTGCCCATCCCTGCCTCTGCTTGTCTGCCGGACTTATTACCAGAAACCAACAAAAAAATACACCGTTCAACATGCAACTTCGATTGTATCATTTGCTTGAAGGTTTAGGGCTTCGGGTCTCGAGTCGGCGGGGTTCAGATCCTGTGCTGAACAGGAGGATGAGTGCAGTGCGGACGATGATGAGAATACTGATGATGATGCTGCTGTAGCACTTCGATTATGATATTTATTTGCACTTCTCTTCATTATATACTAAGATGAGTCTCGTCGTCACAACTACAGTGTTTACGGCTCAACAGTGTAGAAATGCACCGATCGGCTTAGATCAATGTCACTACACGAGGCTTGGTCTAGGACTCTCTGTCTCCCTTGAATCAAAAGTGCGAAGCTTCGTGCAGAACCCCACTTCCACCGGCAACCTTGCCTCGGAGCATCGAATGCCAGGAATCCTGGAATCACTGAAACCTTATTCCTTTGATTTCCTTCGTCTCCGAGTCGCCCCAACGAGCTGTAGTGCCTCAGAGGCCTCCGCAGCCATCGCTGGAACAGGCCGCCCCTGAACCCTGCGAAGTCTCAAGACCCACTAAGTTACTAGATGCCTTTACTGCTAAAGCAAATAGTATATTGTACTGTATATATATATACACACACATAATACTGTTAAGTATACTACATAGTGTTATAAGTGGGTGATGGCCATCCCCTCAGCCTTTGGGGCCGAACATGCAGATTCAAGGCTTAAGAAGACGCAGTCCGCCAAACAAGTCTGTCATGAACCTCCTGGGACTCCTGGTCCTCAGAAGTACTGGACCCCGAGGGTTTAGGGTTTAGGGTTGAGGGCTTAGGCGTGAGTAGCAATGGACCATGAGGGTTTAGGGTTTAGGGTTGAGGAGTGAGTAGCAATGGACCGTGTGGCACGAAATGTGCCACGAAAAATAATCGCTGAGAGCCTGCTGCGGCCCGCGACGATGCATAGCTTGTGAATAACAATACAGAAACCCGCCGGGTTGGTGCTTACAACAACCGTATTAATCCGTCTCTCAATGCAACACGCATCAGAAGAGGATGCTCTGCACTGCTGGTATAAACAAACATTTTTCATATAGTATTGAAAAGCATCTTACCTAACAGGGGCAATTGGGCGACAGTGCTGCAAACTCTAGGAAGGATGCATGCTGCATAAGGTCCGCAGCAATGCAACGCCACAAAGTCTGCGATTCAGGAGGACGAATTTCTATTGTCAACTGTCTTCGCAAACTGACAGCCAAAGTGGCAGCACGGGTAAAAGAAAGAGTTGTCGTCGTCGTCATCCTCGCCATCATAATCATTCCACCCTTCATGCAGGATTTACGGGAGGGCGCAGGTCCTCACAGTCTTCACTCCGATACTCACTATCCCCACCCGGGTCCTCACTACTCCTATCATTCTTTCTCATTCTTCTGGCTTGCTCTCACTCGACTATGCATAGATGCACGCACTTCCTCATTGCCTCTCATCCTCACGCTATCCCCACTAACCTTCCTCCCAGCCTTGCCGTGATGAAAAGATCCGCCGAGATCCATTCCGCAACCCTCTGACATCACCTTACACCCAGCTTCACTATGCGCCTTTCTCGTCGTCGTCGCCTCTGCGGCAGTAATAGCCCTCTGTCCTCACGCCTGTCCTCCAGATGGTTGTTGTCGAAAGCTACTGTTATGAATTATGAACCGAACTGTACGCTAACTGTCAATATTACCACCGTACTACCACGCGCTATTGTTGCTGTCCTGTTCCAGCAACTGTTAGGGTTGAATTGTTGGCTCTTACTTGCATGACCATCCAGAAAAGCTACAACAAGCCTCGGTCGACCAGAACTGCCATTTCTCTTTTGCTCTTCGCGAAGAATCTGCGGGACTTTAGCCCGGCTCACACGGCGAGCCATTGCTGGCCGAAGTTCAGGGGCTTCGAGACATCCTCCGAAGTCAAGTTAGGAAACCGCTCGGGGACTTGTGGGGTGGTTTTAGGGTGCTGAGTTTGGTCTATCTTCCACGCCCTTCCACAAACCAGGGAGAGCACCCTTCTCCTTCCGAGAAGCCACTTCACATGGGTGCTCCTTCTCAGAAGGCTACCCTCTGCTTCTCTACACTTTGGCCGCGACTGGGTCCGGCCCTGCATGCTCCATGCAACATGGTGGCAGAAGCCTCTCCCCTCAGTTGTTGAGAAGGTTCACTTCTGCAACCTGTACAAGTGAATTATAGGTGTATTCGACTTCCCAGAGGGGGCTGAACAGCCGAGCTCAAAAGGTTGATTTGTAGCTTTGAAGGTCCGGAAACTTAACTCGGCACCTCCTCCTCCAGCAGCCATTGACCAACTTGTGTGGCAGCCCTTTACCCTCAACTTCCTGAACCCAAGCCATATCACGCCAAAACGACACTGCGAAACTGCGGAAGTGGTCGTTAACCGTCAGAGTACAAGCCAGGCCTGAGGGCAGCATGAGAATGCCTGTGATAGCGTGTTACAGTATACGATAACAGACGAAAATATACTAGCACAAACGAAAATAGACTATAATATACTAATTCAAACATACTATAATATACTGTAAGATATTACCGGTCGTACTCCATCCGGTCATGAAACACAAATCCACGTGCCCTTTCGCTGCTTGCGATGGCAGTGCCAGCTGAGAAGTCAAACGGGAAATTGGAGTATACCAACATCTGTCTCAAGCTTAGCTCACACTTCCAAGCGACATTGCAGACGAGCTGCTAAACGCCACGGCTTGAACATCATCTCTGAATCTTGTTCAGCCGTCGGAACGCCGTCCTTGCTCAACAGTTCTGAGAAATCGAGATGTGCACTGCACTGGAAAGCAGCACCAAAATAGCAAACATTATAGACCTTAGATGACCTTAGCATGCATGCAGGTATCAGCTGCACAGTTTTGAAGATGCCAAAGCAGATCGCGACCACAGCGATCGCTCTGGACGGTTGGTCCTTCAACGACATCGGCCGAAGATACGTTCCGCAACGGCTTGTAGTAGTATCGAGGTAGTTCTAGACTAGCTAAAATTCGCATCTCACGGAGTGGGCCTTGTATTCGGACAGCTGGATCACACCTTCATAGCCTGATGCAATGTCTAACCATGCTCCAGGTCTGGTCGCTAGCATCAGGCATGTGCGCAGCTGCAGTTCCGACAGCAGGCCTTTGACGAGGCCGTCGTCATCGGCATACGTGTGCCTCAATCATGCCATCACGACAGTCGTTCCAAACTGCTTCAAAACTTCCAAACTTCTGAAACAATCACTGCAAGCAACGCTCACTGTGCGCACAAGGGAAAGCACTCATGCTGCATGCAAGCAGCTTTGCTGCGTACACCATTTGTTGAATGCTGTATGCCACCGGGGAAATGTCAATGGCCCATCCTTGACACCGACACGTTTAAGTTTAAGCTAGATGCTTTGCGGGGAAACCACCGCACAGGAGAAAGCGTGCAATAAAGGCTCTCATCCATGGGACGACAGATGACCGGGTTGCGGTAAAGCCATTGAACAACAAGAAGAGCATCCTCAAAATGGCACATGGTCACACCAGAACAAGCCACGGCTCCTTTGAGACTGAGAGCGCGTCATGAATGGGGAAGAGAAAACGATCGCAGATTGGGCATCTTTGGCTATCGCTGCCACCATGAGGTAAAGAGCATTCATGGTGGCCTTGGCATATAACCACTGCACATCTTCAACTTGCACATGGCACGACCCTCTTCCTTGATCAGCCCAGCGACAGCCAACAAAGTTGACCACAGATACACATCAGCGTACATCTGCCATCTCCTTCGCTGTGCGACCGGGGGATTACATGTCCCTGACTCGGCAGGCGTGGTTCTGCTCCAGTGGTCCCATGCCAAGAGGCAAGCCGCTCATGGCAAAGAGGACTGTGATGAAAATGCCTAAGTTCACGGAAAGACACACCTCACTGAGCAGCCGACTGCTTAGACTCTAAAATCAATCCAAGCAAGCTGCTGTGGACCAGCAGCATCTGCAAGGTGTTCAAGACTCCAAACGAGAAGATGTAGGCCTCGGACTGGCAGCCGATGCGACAACTTTCCTTTTGACATCTTGCCGAAGTCAAGCTCCTCATTTTTTCAGATCCGTCTTGTCCTACCACTCCTACGCGTCGCAAGGGCCCAGAACCGCACGTTCAATCATACTTTTCGTAAGCTCAGAGCCCACTCGCTGTACAGCACCTGGCAGCGAAAGCTAAAGAACACCAATAGCTGCCAATAGCTTTTTTCTGAGTCCCCCGTCCCAGCCTCCCACTACCGATCACGTGCAGAAAATGATGCCGAGTTGTAGGAAGACTCTTTCGCAGTCCATGCTAACCATGTGAATGCCATGTAAAAAGCAACTGCCCAAGCCTCTGCTGCCTCCATCTTGACGATGCTGCGCTCACCGATGATCGCAGGCATGCTCCTCCAATGCAGAGAATGCAGAAATCTACAGGTACCAAGACGTGCTTGGCATTGGGCAACTAGGCGGCCAAAACCAGCACCCTTTGCACAGCCTCCCGCATGGGATCCTACCGTCAATCCACAGCTGCGTGCTCGCACGATGGACTCGCAGACTCAAAGGTGAAGCCAATGGTTAAGGGAAAAACATGCGACTCACTGAGACTGCCACTTCAGGCCGTCGATGGCGCAGGTCATACAGAGCCTCGCAGCAGAGCCCACGCGGCCCTCATGCTAGGGAGCCAGGGCAGGCCAAGAAGCATGAAAAAGAAGGCTGTTTGTTGCGCTGCGCCCAGCTCACCCGTTCGCATGTAGACCACGCCGACCACCAGAGCCTCGAAAGACAGAGTTGGAAACACAGAAGCTGCACAAAAACCGCACTTCCACTGCGGCCTTCGCCAGGCCACCGAGCCTTAGCCAAGAGCCAAGAGCTTTTTGAGTTGTGCAGTTTGCTGATTTTGCTCTGCATACTTATTCACTTCACTGGCTCTCAGGGCGCAGCAGATCGGCAAGAAAGCCGCTCTTGTCGCGTGAGCGTAGAATCAACTGCCCAGATCTTGAACCAGAAGTACACTAGATTCATTAACAGTGTTCAGGCAACATATCGGGACATTCCTGCATAGGTTGCCACATGAAGGCCATGGGCTTGACAACAGCACTGTGTAGCGTTCCCGCTCTTTCGTCAAGATTCGTGGCTGCTGCGGAGCGAATACCTACCTGCCTGACGCTTGAAGACGACCCAGAGCTGTGTGCGAAAGCGTCTGGCATAAACACCTTAGATCATGCGATGCCTGTTGGTGAGATGCTATATACATGCACCGCATCCAACTGCCAGGCGTTCAGAACAAGCGGGAGAACTTTTCTGATTTGATACCCCTTTGCTTGCGACGAGTCCTAGAACATCCGTTTAGCCTGGCGGCTGTCCCGCAGTGGTGTCAAGTTGCCCCACCTCGAAACTGCGGAGACATGCGGAGACATCGTCTCGTTTCCAAATCGCGAACACGTGGAAACAAGGCATTACAAGGCATGCGTGCCTTTCAACCATATCAATCACCGAGGACGTGGCGTCTGCATGTACACATGCACTTCCTGGAGTAACCTGAATCTTGCAAGGCGCTTCAAGCGGCTTGTGGCTTCACTTAGGCTCTTTGGGGGTCTGGGACTTTGGGATTCGGTTTAGGGCATTTAGGTTTTGGGTCATGAGGCTTGCCGATACAGTTCGGGTCTTGAGAATCTTCCTGTCAAGCTGTAGCTTCGAGCTCACCTACTATGTAATTTGAACCCTCAATCCTATAGAGACCGTCAACAAGCAAATGATGGGCTTTATCCGAGGCCAAGCTTTCCCTTGTCAGCACAGATTCTACTCCGAAAGGTTGCAACAGTAGGCGTCACACATGGATTCCAGTTTAAAACAAATTTGTGATTGGGGAAAATTGTGATTGCGCACCTACCTTGAAGAGTCCCAAAACCCTGGGTTAAACCTCGTTTTTCACTCAGCCATCAAGGGGTCAATTTATGGATAAAAGGGGCATCGTTGGCATGAGGTCGAAAGCACCATTTTGTCAAAGCCCCCAATCCAAAACGTCACAACCCGAAACGCTATATCTGCCCCAAACATCATCAATCGTAGAAGCAACGGATTAGTTTTTCAAGGCGTTTTGAAAAGACCCAGAATCACTGCAACAAAATCATCGCGTCGTGGTACTGAGACCATCGATGAAACTACCCAAGACACTTTAAACCCGGAACCCTGAGCCCGAAACCCTCAGCCATAAAACCCTAAGACCTTTAACCCCCCAAGATGTCGACAACCACCATACGGGGCCCAAAGCGGGCCGAGCTTCGCGAGCGGCAAAAAACGCGAACACGGAGCCTAGGGCCTAGGTAAAGCTAAGCGACTGGCACCATGCCTGCCGGCCCCTCGGGCAGCTCCCACGGAATGGGTGTACCGGATACCCTCCGCCCAAACCTTTCACGATTTGGGAAGCGTTTTTTCCCGAAAAGGCTGGCAATCCACGGGGTAAGGAGGCTTTGACAACGTCTACCATTTGCAAGGCTCCCAAAAGGTCAAGCATACCCGCCCCACCAAATCTTTCATGATTTGGAGCTGCCAAAACGACAAGAACAATACCCCCCCACCCGGCAAATCCAGAAACGGACAGACTCACAGGTCTCCGCTTGGAGCGCACATCCTCGCCATGCTCTATCCCGCCGCATTGTTTTTTTCTGCGAGGCGTTGCCTTAGCCATATCGGCCACGCATGGTATGTTCTATCCAAGGAGGCTATATTCCCATTTCATTTCGATTGTGCCTGGACCCCGTTGAAGGTGACGGCCCGCGTCGGTGATGCCAAACTTACACTGGGATGCCTGCTTGAACTCAGGGCGGCCTTAGGGCTGCATGCTACGCAGAGCTGCGAGCGGCCAAGATGTGCACACATCAGCGAACGCCCACAAACCACCACCTTAAACACCCAGGACCCTCAATCCCGAAACCCGAAAATCCTAAAGCCTAAACCCCAAACCACTAAAAAAGGAAACCTTGAACTCCAAACCCAAAGAACCCTAAACCCCGCCAGAACCCTTAACCCCAAAACCCTGCAATCCTAAACTCCTAAACCATCAAAACAAAAAGCCCCAAAAACCTGAAAATCGTAAACTACTGAAGCCCTAAACCCTGAAACTCGAGCAAGGCCCTGTTTAGCTGGTGGCCAGCCAGCGGGCCGAAGCGAGCCCGCCAAGCCGCGACAATGCGGCTGAACAAGGTGCACGAAGAGGAGCTAACTTCGAGTGCCACATCGTTTTTGTTTCAGCCTTGAAAGGGTTCCGTGGCCTGAAGGGCCTTAATATATCTTACGGCCCAAACGCAGCTCTGCCAAACCTAAATGGAAGGATCCTAAAATCCCAATCCCTGAAACCCCAATACCCTATTCTTAAAATCAATAACCCTACGTTCGGAGTTCCCAAGCTCTACATGATGTACATGTTGAAACTTTTGAAAATCACGGCGCCCGTCAAAAGCTCTGTCAAAAGAAGGGTGCGTTGCGACGTGGAGCGCCTTTTGGGCTTGCGGATTCCTTCTCCATTTGCGGCTAAATTCAACTGCCAAATCTGCCTCTGCGATCTTAACATGCTAAACTTTAGCTGCTAAACCTCTAAGTTGCCCTGAAGCCCAAGCCCAAGCATCACTCGAAATCCGACAACCCTTAAATTCTAAAACCCTTAAACTTCCAAAACCCAAAACCCTAACGCAACTCCCATGCACAGACACCTGAATCACCGGGGCCGAATACGGCTCTCCAAAAGGGAGCGTGTGTTGTGAAATCGTGGTTTTGCATGTGTGGATTTAACCTCGGTTGGCGGCCACATCCAATTCCGACATCCTCCCGTTGTTCCAAAATCCTAAGCCCCAATATCCAAGAGCTCTCAACTCCAAAAGTTCTGTTCTTCTAAAATCCTCAAGTTACGCCGAATCCCTCCACATAGTGACCTTGGCCTGCTGTGTTGACCTGTTGCGTCCAGACACACAGATGAAGACACAAAACCACTGAACCCCTCTATACCCAATTAGAATGGAGACTGCACGACCCTCGGGTGGGGATTTCGCTTCTGCAGCTCGCCATGGAATGAAACCCTTTCAAACCCTAAGCCCCTACAAAACCTGAAAACTCAAGCGCTAAACACCCTAAAACATCCTAAAAACCCGGAACATCCGCACTAAACCCCAGTCCCAGCCGGGCGGCTGGAAGGCACCGACCAGCTCCGCCTGGAGCCCCGCCTCCACGCGCGAGGCGACCTCCCGGGCGAATTTCCAGCTGCATTGCGGTTTCTTATAAAGGGGATTCTTAAATACAGTATCTAGACTCTGTGATAATGTGTGTGTGTGTGCACATGCGTAGGTGTGGGTGCCCGCGTGCGAGCTTGCCAGCATTCGAGCTTGTGTGCGCGCACGCGCGCGCGCGCGTGCGCCCTCTGCCTGTCTGTGTGGGGCGGGCTGTTGAGACGAGGGGCGTCTTTTGTTGGATTCCTGTACTTGGGCAACTAAAAGTCTGTCTCCTTCTCCCTGTCTGAAAATACCTATCTCGTATCTATTCAGGTATGCACTTAGTAGCATAAACTCACTGCTTTGCTGATAGTCTTTAGTGTTGTTTTAGCACGCTCAATTTCTAGCGTCATTACAACCTCTGCGTGCTCCTTGATTAGTATGATTGTCATCAGTGATCACCAGTGTACTTTTCCTGTTGTATTGGGGTCGCGCCGCTGAATTTCCAAACCCACCGTATAGACGAACCACGGCTTTGTGATTCTGTCGGTTCAGGCCCTCTGCAACATGCGGAAGACATACTTCGCGGGCTTGGAGTTGCAGGAGAGAGCGTGCACTTCGCGGCTGATGTCACGAGGATGGTTTGATCTCCCGAGCTTGAAACAGAACAGCTGGCATCAACGCACGTATCGTCACACTCAGAGACCCACCTCTTGCTCGGCTTTCCCACCTTGGCTTGCAAGCATGCGCCGACAAGGCATCTAACTCCCGCATAGCGAAGGGCAGCATGCAGAAGGTACAAACAAAGACCGTCCAGATCCCTTGTGCGACCTAGCCGCGGTAATGCAGCACAAACGTGTCCACTCGCGCGTCTTGGCGCTCCGGTGTAACCAGGTCCATGAAGAAGTCCAACGGGTTGGCGTGCAGTGGCACTTCGAAGCCTGCGTTGCGCAGATAGTCGATGACGTCCTTTGCAGCAGACTGCCTGCTGCGAAAGCTTCTGAAACTCGGCAAACTGATGCAGTAATATATAATATATAATATATAACATATAATATATAATATATAATATATAATATATTATATTATATATATATACATTATATATTATATTATATTATATTATATTATATTATATTATATTATATTTATATTTATATTTATATTTATATTTATATATATATATATAGTCCTCCATCTTGCCATTGTAGACGGCGCGTCCAGGGCCGGAGGTCATCAGCAGCAGCTCATCGAACAAATTCGCCACCTCTATCCTGGGCTGATGTATCACCTGGGTGTTTAGGGTTTAGGGTTTAGGGTTTAGGGGTTTAGGGTTTAGGGGTTTAGGGGTTTAGGGTTTAGGGTTTAGGCTGGATGAGGGCTGGCTTAGCCAAATGAAAAGCAGCAAAAAACCCAAAATAGCAGAAGATCCATATAGAGGACGAACTTACAAGCGAGCAGCAACGAGAACGAGGATGTTGTAGTACCTGCACATATGCTTCATGTACCTGTCCGCAGGAGGCGGTAACTTGAAGGAGTCAACACGAGCAGTTTTTCCTCTCCCATTGCTAGGAGCTCTGGGTCGCAATTCTTGCAGCGGCTGTTGAACCGAAGACTGCAAGGTGGCCACCGTGTGTTGAAAAGCGCATTTAAAATTTAACCACGCCTCATGCAAGCTTCCGCATCTGTCGCTGAGAGGCCAGAGGTAGGCTCGTCGCAGAAGAACACCTGACATTGACAGCAGCCAGCTATGCCGCAGGTATGCCTGCATTACCGTAGCAGGTATTCGAAAGTACTCGCCATCAGGACATCATCGGATGCAACTGAATGTAGAGTCCGACACCACCCCAAAGACCAAGTCTGAAGTGCTGCATGCCGAATTGCCGAAACTAACTTGGAGGGGTTGATAATGCTCGGGAGCCGCACCCGTGCACCGCTTGCGAGGCGCTTCGCCAAGGAAAGACGCCTGTATCAGACATGGGGATCATCACAAGAACGGTCTGGAAACACGATCGGCGCTTTTGAGATTTGTAGATGTGGACACTTCAACGTGACAGTCTGACACGACAGCTGTTGCACAGTATGTGCGTCTTTCTGCGTGCCTCTTCTGACCACCAGAGATCCCTCGCAAAGAGGTGCCATCGCCGATGTAGTGGTCCTCACAAAACTCGTGCGCTGCTTGACTGCAAGTAAGAGGTCGGGGCATCCTTTTAGGGTTCCTTAAACAAAAGATATCTATAAGGGTTTCTATGGGTTACCATAAGGGTACTATAGGGGTAATTATACAACAAACCCCAAACTTACGAAGCCCTAGCCGCTAGCCCCCGAGACTTCAAAGTCAGGAGCCCCTCGTAAAGGACACCCAAGCCCCTGAGGCCCTCAAGCCCTTTAAAAGAGGGGCCTGGGCCCTTAAAGCCCTAGAGCAACTTAACAGTCAGGGCTCTGTTACAGTTCCTTCAAAATGTCGTATCCCGATTCTGAAGCCTAAACACCAAAACCCGAAAGCACCCCGAACCAGGGCGAGCCCTCACGTCATTCTGTTCACTCGTTTCCTTCACCTTCTCGAGTCCCAGAACGGCCAGCCGCCGCTCCAGCCAGAGCTGCTGCATCTTCCGGGTCATCTGGCTCGGCCTCGGGGTTTCGTTTCACAGGTTTCAGGGGTGACTCAGGAGCCGGTGGGATTTCACCGGGGGGATCTTCGATTCTGGCTTTCTTCAGAGTGCAAGCCGTCTCCCATCCCGCCTTTCGATCTTGAGGCTGATATTGAACTCCATCGCCTCACCACGGTAGCCCGCATCTCTAGCCGCATTTTGCCTATATGAAACGTAATGAAACGTAAAAACATCGTTTCGATGAAAAGCGAATGGCGTCAGCCAGAACTTACACGGACCCGGCCTACGCCCAATATGTACAGCCAGCCAAAGAAATCAGTCCCTGCACGTGCACCGGCCTCCATGACGGTCAAGCACTTCGGCATCGCCTCTTCTTGCGGCACGTACGCAGAGACCCGCGGAAACAAGTGGTCTCGGGGGCGACCGTTGAAGTGGATGGTGCCAGAATAGCCTGCAGTTTTCCTCGGCTTTGAAGGACGGCTTGGCTGATGGTGCATGAGACATCTTGATGCTAAGCGTCTTGTCGGCCAGGATGTCCTCAGAGCTGATGCAACTCGTGATATCTGAAGAATGGACTGGGACTAATTGGGAGACGCCGAGAAGCCAGAAGGGTGGACTTGCCACAGCCAGAGGGGCCCATGATGGCCACCAGATTGCCGGACTCGAAGTGTCCGGAGATGGGCGCCTGAGGCGGGAGGCGTCACACACGTCCGAGGACCCAGTGCGTCTCATTGCCGAGCTTCCAAGATCTGCTTCTTTTGTCCCCCACGAAGGTGCACATCGAAGGAAACCTCTTTGAAGGTCAGGGACACATCGGAGGACCTGGAAAGCGGCCAGGCTGCCGTAACCCAGCACACAGGGCCCGCAAGCGGCTGTCCGAGCCTATCCGAGGACTGGCTCCGCACGGAGTCACAGCTGGCGTCCCCCCTGCCCTTCTCGAGGCAGTCCAGAGCCTCACACGTGCGTTGCGCTCAAGCGGCTTCAAGCCGAGCCGGGAGCCATCGATACGATTGAGGATTTGGTGATCTTTGGCAATAAATGTGGATGTTGTACTGCGCGTTGGGATCTAGACTGGCATGCCTCTTCGCTCATGCGCATCTTGGATTTCCATCTCCGCCAGATGGCACCATCGGACTTCTCCGCGTCGCTTGTGATTTTAGCATCTCGGTCGGCCAAACGGTTTCTCACTGCATCAGTTTCAAAGCGTGTCAGAGCCATGCACTCGGCCCCGCCTAGGCTTCTGCTGGTTCTTTCACCTGAGTCCTGCGATGGTAACACTGCAAGAGCCGGCTCTAGTTGAAAGACTCCACTCGGAGCGAAGGCCCTCGGCCCTCGTGCAGGTACGAACGCGCATCAAGAAAATGCCGAAGGTTCAGCTGCAACTACGACCAGGCTGTAGACACATAGCATCCAAGCCCTCGGAAACCCTCTAAAAATATCCCACACCCGCAATCACCAGCGCGGTCCGCACGGCGAAACCTTCCCAACAGCCACGCTGGAGGAAAGGATCCTGAACGCCGGGTTTCCCCCACCTGCCATAGCCAACTTTGCAACTGAGTGCACTGCGGGCAATGGGGTCATGTGGCTTTTACTTTTGAACGTTCAACTTGCGGCTTTCCAGCGATGTGTTTCATACTCGATGCCCGCCAGCGGCTAGTTCCTGCATCTGTTTTAGTTTTTTGGTTGGCTTACTTTCAACTCCCTGGCCTCCTCCGGCTTCGCAGCTTCCGCAGGAAGAGCTTCCGCCATCAAAGAAGCGCTACAAGAAGAGAGGTCAAAAGCATTCGCTGGAGCTAAAGCGATTTTGCGTTTTACCTCATTGCTTGCTTAGACCCTTCGGTGAAGCAACAGCAACAACATGTGCCAACAGAGGTCAGACTTCGATTTCGATTTCCAGAGCAAAGGGACCTTCTGTCAACGGCTCCCGGGCATTGCAACAAGGTGATCCGCTGCTTGGGTCTTTCGGCTCGGCTTCTTCTTCTTCGCCCCGGCACTGTCAGGAAGTATGAATCAAGAGAGCTCTAAAACGACCAAAATAAGCTCGTTCGAGCTTGCTGACCCTTTCACGATCCATGAAAGTGAACATCAGGCTTTGGCTTGCCAGTATCGGACCATCACGCGTCTTTTTGCGCAGGCGCAACTGCTCCTTGCCCACTCCACCCCTGAGTGGATGTCCCGAGCATAAGCCAAACAGACGCGCAACCTGAAAAATAATGCACCCCAGAAATTCGATGCTGACCGTCCTCAGCATCCTAATCCCAAGCTGCAGAGCTTGTTGCGTGCGTCTTCCGGCTTTACAGGCCCCTCACTGCATGCGTCAACGACTCATGCCAGAATGCCGGGCACGCTTTGTCAGTGGCCAGGCCAGTTGAAGTACATGGTCAAAACTTTCGGAAGTGCACTCGTCAAATGAGCAGTTCAATTGAAGAGTAGCTTGCAAGACGAGAAGTGCTGCCGATCCCCATCTCTCTCATCTGTGGGAAGCCGAGCTTTTCCTATCTTTGCGTAAGTGTTGTTGTTCCGTGCAGGTGGAGGATCTGGCATCATCTACAAGGATGTGTGGAAAATCGAATTCGCGTTGCAGACGCATCAACTCGCAGCCAAAAGCCTGAGCCATGGAACGCGATGGAAGGTAGCGGGATTGGGAGTTGAGGAGTTGGCATTAGTTTCGGCGTGCTTCTAGCAGCAGCGAGTGGGAGGCCTGATCACACGGCTAGGCTCTGGAAGCTGGAGCATGGCAAAGAATGCACCAATAAGTGGTATCTTGATACACCTAAGTCACCAAACACCGAACGAGGCACACAGTCCTTGGATCTTGCGTATCTTGCGTTCTGTCTGCGAATCCAGGTGCCAGGCCGGCAAAAGGAGGATCGGCACCACACCAGCTCCGTGGTGCCAGCCTCCGATTCTCACTGCTCCACTTAGTGCATCCCAAAAAAAACTACATCACATCAGTTCCTCCATGTCAGCAGGTCGCGGAGAAGACTGAAAAGCCCTCTAGAAGGAGAAAGGGGAGTCGGCTAATAGTCTACGATACCCCTACTACTGGCCTCCAGGCCACCGATGAGGTCCGCATCTTCTGGCCTTAACGGCTCAACGGTTGCTGCCTGGAACACGGCTTCTTGAAATCTCAAACCGCTAAGCCTCGGGCTCCGAACATGACGACCATGGGTCCTCGGATTCCTCCTCTTCCTCACGTGAGATATGCGCGATCTTCCCGCCCCTGCAAGGCCAAGGTTGACATGGACCCACTCCTCTCCCGCAGTGTACACACGGATCGGGAACTCGGCACTGTCCAGGGGTTGCGACAGAAGACAGGACCTCAGTCTCACACTTTCGCAAAAAAGCTTCAGCTTCGCTCGCGCAGTGAAACTCACTCGACACTACCTCTCGAGTCTGTGGAATGCCTTTGGCAACGAAATCCAGTACGCGTCTTTTTGCTCGAGAAATCATGTGTGGCCCGCACCACGTCGAGCTCCTCGGCTGATGTGCGATCCGTTCTGTCTGAGCCAGTCTAGTCTAACTGTGTACCTCATGGAAAGCCGTCAACGCATCTTGCGAACAGTCTACGAACATGTGCAGACGAAGTGCGGCAGCAACTGCGCCAAGGGGGCATCTTCAGCATCAACTAGTGTGCTCAAAGGTCGCTCATCGTCGCTGTCAGCCAGAACTTCGTTGGACTCGACCTTTCACCAGCATAGAAACAGCCCTGAACATGATCGTTCAGGCATATCGGAAAGATGGGCGATGATGGTTCTTTGTTGAGCTTGCCAGCCCCTACAGCTTCTTTACAAGACCCTGGCAGGCACCTTCCGTTGCCTGGTAGGTGCTGCCGGAGTCCTCGGCACTTGTCAAGAGGACGAATCAGTCTGCTCAGTAGACTCGGAGGACTGCCGAGAGCACAAATCAAAGCAGCTGGAAGCCGAGGTGCCGGAGCGGTGCAGGAGGTTTTCTGCCTGTTGCATCCTCGCCCGCCAGAATCAGGCGCATCGATCCGGCCGTCGTGCTGCGATTCAGCACGGCTTCGTCGCCCCTTCCTGCTTTCCTGGCGAGCCCGGTCGGCTCGCGAGCCTGCTGGCAGCGCACAGCCGGAAGATCCTTGCCGCAAGAAGCAAACACCTTGCAAACAGCATCTCCAAAGTCAATGACTCCGCCTGAGTCGTCTTCCGCCGTTTCCGGCCCTCCAGCGAGCACCCGCGCTCAGATGCGCTCAGCTGGAACAACGCACGTGTGTGGTATTTCCCACTTGCGGCCTGCATCGTTGTGGAGGATGTTCGGCTCAGCTTTGCCGCGAGAGCCTTTCCATTGCTAGGCAATGCTAGCATACGGAGCCCCAGGACACAAGTCATTCTCTTGAGGCTCTTCCCTGCCATGATCACAGGCAAGCACAATGCTAAACCCACAGGTTAGTGATTGGCAAATGGCGCAAACAGCAACCTGCACTGGGACTGATCGGGGAGCCCTTGGCACTCCAGATTGCCACGAGCACGAAAGTGCAACAACATGCCCACGGGGAATGGTACGTGCGCCGCGCAGAATCGCGCATCAATGCGCAGGATGTCTTTAACCGATTCCCGCAAGATCACGGTCCTACCTCATTCACCCGTGAAAGAAGCAACTTAGTACATCTCAACCCAAGACACCGAAAGTTCTTGTCCATCAGTGACAAAATCCATGCGAAAACATGCGGAAAAACAGCAATGACACAAAGCACTTCACGGAATAGTTGGAATTTGTGACTCCGCCAGTCCCGACCCCAAACAGCATCAAGTAGTGGTAGTAGTAGTAGTAGT